TTAGAAGGATGACTTGTTTATTTTTTTTATAATACAACATTTGTATCTGCTAATAAAGACACAAACACATGTTAAGTTGACAGTGATGCACCAGGAGGAGTACATACCACTTTCTTAGTCCATATGTACATCAGTGGTCTGGCCAGGGGCTCACAATAACACTTGGCAATGTTCAACTGATAGCTTATTGCTCACTTGAAATGAAGCAAACGCACCTAAATACAGAAGATACACTAGACCTAATAGATGTGTCTGGAGCAAGGGAATTGCTCTTACATCTATGGAGAATCATCATTACAATCCTTATATTATCTCACAGCATCACCTAAGGTTACAAAATTTAAATTTATTTTTGTGGGATAAAAAATATTGTGAAAGTACAAATTCTTTAAATAAAGAACTTAAGCCTATTTTTAGATGGAGCTTTACAGTTATACAGTACTGGAATTATGATGCACCATTTTTTCAATACTGGTGATGAAGCAGGTACAGCACTTGGCTAACTTCCTCACTATAGTTTCCACTCATACAAACACTCACTCCTTGAGAGGTTACTGCACTATGGTGGAAGGAAGGTTTAGCTGATGTTACAAGTCTTTTATCAGATCCTCCCGCTCTCAGGTACTGGAAAGCTATACCCCTTCCACCGCAGAACAAGGTATCAGCACATTTGCCACAGCAACAAGAGTTCTAAACTGAGGACTGATGCAGCCAGTGGATGGGTCAAGTGCCCTTTGCAGCTGTGGGTTTGTGGTGATACCTTGTGGCCTATGGATCCAGACCACATGAAGCCAGTGAGTGCAAACAATGTGTTGGAGGCCAGCAAGCCGGCAGCATCATGTGCTCACTTGGTCCAAGGCAGTGTGACAGCAGAACATTTAACAACATTTTGGCCCCCAAAGAAACTTTCATGAGTAAACAGCATCCTGATCTGACAACAGAGGTGACACAGCTCATCTCTCTTCCCCTTAGTTTCCATGCCTCCCCCCACCCTCAGCCTTCCCTGTTTGTTGTCCCTCCTCTGGCACTCAGGTGCAAGTGAAACAGTGAGCAATAAGCCACCATTCACATTGTCTGCCTCATGTAGATGTGACCCAGCCTGACCTCGCTCATGCCAACCAACAGCTCCACAACGCATCTCATCGCACAAACTCGCTGACCCCTGAACACATCCCTGCACTCTGGCCTGATCCTTACAATAAAATCTTTGTGCCTTGTTCTTGTGTCCACAGTGGTGGGGAGAGACAAGTCATTAACACAATAATAATAAATGTGAGTCTGAAGAGACAGGATATCTGGGAGAAAGTATATAGAAAATAATGATGCGAGGAAGACTGAGAAATTTAGTAAGAGTGGGGAAAATAAACAAAGTAGAGAAAGGCAGCACTGTCATGTTTTGGGCTCGGCATGTTATTACCAAATGCCCAGAGCTTAACTTACAATATAAATAGGTTAATGTGCCATTGCTTTTACTGACACATTAGGAATGAACTGACTATTTACAAATGAATAATAAAATATAGAGAAAAAAAATAATAAAAAAATGAAAAAGAATGAAAGAAAAACAAAACATTTGAATGACATAACAATATTGGTCATGATGATACAAAAACGCTTTATCCCGTACGAAGAGAAATGCGCATCTAACCTGCTTCCGAGTCAGAGGAATCTGAGGATGATGATGATGATGAGGATGAGGATGAATCACTGTCTGAAGAAGAAGAGCTGGATTCTGTTAAGCGGGATGTGCCCCCACCAACTGCATCCATACTCTTGTTCTCTTCTGGAAAAAATGCAAAACAAAGAAAAGTTTTAAAACCTTTTCTTCTATTCCTCTCTCCCAGCACAGAAATACAAGACTCAAATCTCTAATAAAATCATTTGAAAGAATTTTTTTTTTTTTTTTACACATTTGCAAAACTATGAAAAAGCAAGCTGTGAGCATCCTTCTGAAAGATTGCATGAGAAAAACTGTAATGATAAACAAAAAGACAAAGGTAACATGGGAAGAATGGGCATAAAAAACAGGAGATTCACTGCAGACTAACCTTTTTTGGGTGTCTTCTTGGCAGCTGGAGTACCTAATTGGCCAGTTACATCTTGTAATCGCTTTTCAAGCTCCTGCTTCTTTTCAGCCATAGACTCCTCCTTTGTTTTTGACACAACACTTTTCTTATCTTGTCGAGCTGTAGCAAGGAAATCAAACTTTCAGATTTGAAGGTGGATGTAAAAGAAAAAGTTCGAGTTTTAAAAGGATAAAGGAACTTGCACTATTGTCTATACATTTTAATGAATAGGCTGCTCCATTTCTTGCTAATGATAAGATGCAGCAACCCACTACTAATTTCCCTCAAACCAGTTTAAAGATGTGTACCAGCTACATTCAAATATTATATAAAACATTGAAAGATTAATATATAACATGCTATTCTTGAAAAGTATAAGCCAATCAAATTATTACAATATAACTAAAGAATAGAGTCTAAAAGAGAAATGAATG